GTTTTAAATTCGAATTTGTTATTGCGTATTGGTTCGATTATAGAACGATTGTAAACGTTTCAGAAAATTGATCAAATTGAAAATAGTTCGTTTGATTTTCGGCAATTCTCTTCAGCGGTAGGTGTTATATAACAATTACTATGGTTATTGAAATATTGGATGTAAATGGGGTTTGCTTGCAAAACCTCCGCTGACGAAGTCGCGGGTAACAGCTAGTTTATAATATAAATAAATTAAATATTTTCACAGTGTTTTAAAAAATCTTTTCATGTCGAAACGGTTGTTAAAATTAAGTGCGGGACAGTTATTTAGAATTTATCTGGCAACATTGTTTCGTACTTTTTAAAAATTCGTGAAACATTAAGTGTTGCCAGCAGAAATAATAATAAAATAGTTAAAAATTCGATAAAACTTTAAAATAACGAAACATAAATAGGTTAATGATTTAATGATAAATTTCAATGACATACATAATTATATTTTATATTAGCATTACAACAGATGAAGAAATTTTGTTACATTCTTAAATTCAACCCCTGTAAAGTAATGGTATTTATATGTATACCACAAATATAATAGCGCAACATAAAAATATATGTATATATTATTTATAAACATATGAAATAAAAACTATTTGTGTTACAATATACAATGTTTCATGTTATGCAAAATAGTGAAGACATCAAATGAAAAATAGAATCATCAATTACTCAGAAACTTTGCCTGCGTGATTAATTTACCTCTACATAATCTCTTTCAAATGCACTCCACTATAAATATGTATATATTATTTATAAACATATGAAATAAAAACTATTTGTGTTACAATATACAATGTTTCATGTTATGCAAACTATCTCAGAGAGAAAANCGATTGAATATTATTATGATATAATTTTTTTAAACTTTTTATAAAAGTTTATTCGTTCTGAAACTTTACGTTTCTGTACAATACAGCATCTTCGCTATTAAAAGTGTAGTTTGCGTGTCTATGTATATCTTCTATATGAGGATATCTTCTAGTTCTTGGTTCGGTTAAGTGAGATACAAATGCAGATTGTTGACGTATTAATTTTGGTCTAATTCTTCCAGGTTTACCAGATAGAGGTGTATTTGAATCGGGAGTATCTGAAGATGTCGAAGATGTTAATGTAGATTCGCTAGATTCTTGATTACCAAAGCGTGCCATGGCGAAAGAAGTCCTTTTCATCCCCCCGAATCTCGATATGACTGCTGGTAAAAAATTGAGCTCGTTTTCTTCGGCAGTGAAGGAGCAAACTCGCTTTAAAGATGGCCTAATTTTGCCATAACTACCGTTATCGTTAACTAAAAGGGCAGTCATGCTACTTCTAGAATCTTTGCGCTGGACGTATGGGCATAAATATGTTGCAGGGTCATCGCTGCTCTCAAATGATGTGCCACAGTTATCTGTGGTATCACTCCCGCACGAATTCTGTGTAGCTAATTTCATGATAAGCATAGATTCTGGATGGTTTGTTATGACTTCCCTCTGATTCCAATTGCTTCTGTTTTCGGGTGTTTGAACTCCATAATAGTCTGGTTCTCGAATATTTTGAAGCAATCTTCGTGAATGTTTCGGGCATGTCATCACTGGATCGTATTCTGGTTTATGTAGAGACTCGTCTGAACCGTGTATTGATACATCATCTCCATTATCAGTCATATGCCACTGATCCTCGCCATCTTTGTAGAGCACCGAATTTACGTCACGTAAATCAGTAGCGCTATTGGACTGCAACACACAAGAACTGTTAGCTGGATGTATATTTGGATCATTTCTGTTCCTCTGGTTGTATAAAGATGGATATCCTCTTCCACAGGTTAACAGCTTCAAGACGTGCTTTCTGATGCCGCGATTTCTGAAAACGTACAGATAAGGATCCACTATACAGGAGCAGTAGGAAGAGAGGGTCACTAGACATAGAAAGTAATGAGGCATCCAGTGACTGGAATTGAAGTATGCCTCAGTTAGCACCACTATATAATATGGCATCCAACAGAAAGTGAAAGATAGCACAACTAAAACGCCCGTTCTCACAGCCTTCCATTCATCACCAAAGATGGATGATTGACTAGTTGAAGAGCTTCTTCTTCTATATGGTTTTCTTCTATAAGTGTAATTAGAACTTACTTTTTGTTTTACTTCCTGAACTTGCTCTTCAGTCAGACTGGCGCTTAAACTATGTTTGCGTGCTCTAGCACTATTAGTGCGTGCTGCACGAAACATAGAACAATACATCCAACTCATTTTTACTAATGGAAACAAGAAACCGATGGTTGTAAGAAAACAATCATAAGCAATTGTGTAAGGATCTTTAGAATACCATGTGACGGTGCACGTATGCCATAATTCTCTATATTTGAAACTGGATATTCCACATAGGGGTGGAATAGCAACAAGAATGGCAAAAACCCAAGTTCCAGCTATGAGTATGCCCGTTTTTTTCTTAGTTATAGCCATGGAATAATGAAGAGGGCTATTAACAGCGCAATTTCTATCAGCGGCAATTAATAATAATGATAACGTTGATGCCACATTTAAACATATGAAAGCCGTACCTGTCATTTGGCACCAGATCTCACCAAATATCCACTTACGTGTTACGATAGATGCAAAGGTAAATGGTAAAAGTAGGGTAGACTGTAGTAGATGGGCTAATGACAAATTAAACACGAACCAGTTCGAAAATGTCCGAAATGTTGCTTTACGATAGAATAATGCAAAAATTAATCCATTGCTTACTATGCTAGCTGCAAAAATGACAAGAAGGCCTGTCGCTTCGGTTTGCTGTATTACTTGATTGGGACTATTACCTTCTAAAGTTCCTTTATCCTTCGGAGGACCAAACATGATAGGTTCTGTTAGGTTATTTACATGATAAGGGTGAGTTTGGAACAATTTAAGATCTGATGCATCCATTTCTTAAAGTATATTTCGTAAATCTGCAAAGATATAAAGATACGTTAATGTTACTTTTAACCCTTATATTCAAAGAAAAAAAAATTATGTTTACATCTTTTAATATTCCCTTACAGACCAAACGTTAAATTTAACGCATTAACTACTCCTATTTTCTAGAAAAAACATTTAAAAAACTTGAAAAAAAGACACGATAAAGTTAACACGATGAATATCTGGATTTATACATTCTTCTCTACTTATCTTGTTCATAGTTTGTATTGTATTGTTATACTAGATATGGAAAGCTGCCAAAAATGGTTTTTTTTAGAGGTGATGAAAAAATGTATCAGTGCATGTCTGACTGAATAGTTTCTGTTCAACTTCTTTTCATAGTTGAAGAATTTTGTGTAAGCCGTGATTATGGATCAGTTGAGAACCATAAAAAATAAGAAACTCTCCTCTTCCCCTCTATCTCTCTCTCTCTCTAGTTGCTTACTGATCTTCATCTCAATATCTTGTTATCAACTTTGGCTTCTGCTCTTGCTCTTCTTTTTACAAAAAGTAATTTTATGAAAACTTTACCAATTTTATAAATGTGATCAAAAGTTTCAAATCACATATTCTAGCAAAGGATTTCCTTACTCTTATGTAGCATCTATCATTTTCTAAATGGTATTTTCTCCAATAGTGTTAAATATGGGAAGATATCATTTGTCTTCACCAGATCGTCTCCTTTATAACTAATAGTTTTTCTAACGACAGACCTTCTTCTTCTTCTTCTTCTTCTTCTTCCTCCTCCACTTCTAGAAACAAAGAATTTTATAACAATCGAATACTTCTTCTCGACGTGTAAAGTCGAATTACTGTCAAGAAACACGTTTAAATTTAACTTAATTCATTAATTATCTGGTGTTTTTTTTAAATTAACTTTAAAGTTAAATAACTGAAGAATGCTTCTAAAAAATCTCCAAGAATTTCGACGAGTTTTTTTGAGATTTTTTTTTTTTAGAAGAAAATAAGAATTCTCTCTCATTGTAAGAAGCTCGCTCTAGCAATCAATCAATTCTGACCTCTTACCCCAATAACTCAATTTTCCAAATAAATTTTTCAAGAATTTCGGAACAAACTTTTCAAAACAATTTCCGGAATAAATTCTTTAATCTTATATCTCCAGATTTATCATCATAAACAATTTTCTGCTATTTTATTTTATTTTTTTTTTTTAGATGTTAAAGAATTAGCTCTAGATGCTAGCAGATGTCACTATCGATCTGTAATTTAGTTAAATATAAATTTGTTTGTTTTTTTTGTAACAAATTCAATAGTTTTTTTTTAAACTTTTTGATGCACAATTATCATTTTAGAGTCTAAATAAAGGAACGATTCAGTTTTCTATGTCTAAATTATATGAAATTAGCTTTAAGAATGGTTTTTTATAATGGGTATACTTCTTTCAGAAAATTCTGTAGGAGTTTTCTTGACGTTTTCTTGTCATTTTTGAGTCTTATTGAGTTATCCCTGAGTCATATTGAGTCATTTTTGAGTCTTATTGAGGCATATCGAATCATTGAATCATTCTAGAGCCACAAATGACTTACTGTAGGAGTTATTTCGGATAAAAACAGCTATTTATAGTTGTTATACAAGGTAAACACTAGGTCAAACTTCTTTTAAGAGACATATTCTAGTTCGTGAAGATATGTTTAATTGGAATTGTATAAGATTATAAAGAACTATGTTACAGGAATGATTTCAGAGTATAAAGAACTTAGTTTAGTGGTGATTCTGATGCTTAAAGATTGGCATTCTACTCTTAAGGAGCCATTTTAAGCCATAAAAGAAGTCTAAGAGATGATATAGATCTTCTTATACAAGAATCATTTCATAAAGGACTTCTACACGGGCATTCTTATAACTGATAAAGGACTTTTATAATTTAGAATGATTTATAGGAGAAAGAAAACAAAAGAAACTAGAAATTATTCTCGAGAAGACGAAGGAAAGTTAAAGAAAATGAGCGAATATATGCGTTTACAAAGTCATTACAACGATTAAATTATTCACTAAGAAAAACCTTATAAAAAATTCATTTTTCTAGAATTTAAAAGTTTTTAATTAAACGTAAAAATCAATTTACTAATTAAAACTCTACATTATAATTAAAAATTAATTCTGTTTATACGAAATTTTAAACAACAAACAACCCTTAAAAAGGTTATGAATAAAACACACAAGCTTGTGTGTGTGTCTGTGTGTGTGTGTAATTCGTAGCGAACAAGATTTATGCTTTATTGATCAAAGACATCTGGACCTATGAGATAAAATATTATTTCTCTTATATATAAAAATCCTTCTTAAAAAAATAAAATACAAAATGAATAAAAATTCAATAAAATTTCTATTAGTTTAGATAATAAAATCTGCAAAAATTACAGAAAAAAAAATAATTTAATTATGTAAAATTTTATGATTTTAGACTCTAAAAACTGCAAATTTAAATTGTAAAAAAACGCAAAAAATACAAAAGAAGTTTTTTAATAAAAGATAAAATTCACTTAAGGTAAATGTATGTCATTTATACAAATTATATAAATACAACTCTATGCTTTTTTTCCTTGGATATTTTTGTATTTTATAAGATAATAAAAAAAAAAGATAAATAAAACTTCTGTAGTAAAAAAAGGCAATAAGAAGATGGATTTTAAGAAAAAAAATAAATAAATAAAATTGATTATTGCGGGTTTCAAAGCTGTAAAATTGCATTTGGAAATCCAACTCCTTACGTAAATATTGGAATTGGCTCTTACATAAAATATAAATGTCGTTCGTCTCATTAAATGTTGTTAAAATGTACAATAATTGTGAGTCTTTAGATGTATTTTTAATGGGTTCTATTAAAAATTTTCCTTTTATATTTTCTAATGAAAATTCTAGTGATGTTTGATGCTAGATTATACGATTTTCTATGGTATGATTCTAGAATACACGATGCATTATGAATTTTAATGAAAGATTAGGTGATGTTTACCTGTTCTAGAGCATGTTTACGTGTTCTGTTACGAGTGTAGGTGATTTTTATGCATTTAAATGTATTCGAAGATGATGCTTACGCGTTTAAAAGATGACATTTAGCAGTACTGATGTAAAATGAAGTTAATGCTTATGTGTTCTTGTACCAGTTTACGTGATGTTCCTGTGTTTTAATGCAAATTTATCTTTACCTGTTATTCTCTTGTCTATGTAGATGACGTCATAATAAAAATTCGTGTGATATTTATTCATTTTTAATACAAATTTAAGCGTTGTTCCTATGTTCTAATGCGAGTTCGCTTGAACCTAACACAAGATTAAACAATGTTTATGTTCTTTAGAAGTTTATGTACGCAAAATTAGACAATATATTTAAGTTAAGAAGCTAGATTAGACAATATTTAGACAATCTACGTACAAATTCGACAATTTTATATAATTCTGGACAGGGCAGAACTATTTTTTTTTAGACTATTCTGATGCCAAAATTACATTCTCTGGGGCATTTATACAATTTATAATGTAGAATACATTTTATAATTCATTCAAAACAATCTAATTCTAAAAAAATTCATAAAAAAAGAACTACTTTTGTGTGTGTATCTTATAAATAGCATCTGACGAAGCTTCTAATTCAAATGATGGAATGTATTGGATGCTGATCGATTTTATATCATACACGTTACTTGTACTGACAAAGTAATTCTTTAGGATCTAAAAAAAACAGGGTATCGAAACACTTGTCCTGTTCAGACAAATCTTTTAGGAACAGCTTTAGTCACGTTCCTTTCTAGAAACGAGATTTTTCGAGGGATGCTCTGAAAAGAAATAAAGTTTTCTTCTTCTTTTTCTTCTTCTTCTTTTTCTTCCTTTTATCTCACTTCTTTCTCTCCTCATTCTAAAAAAAAATGCGATTTTTTTCATGTTTGTAAAGTATGTAAATTTTATAAATTGAAATATTTGAATTTATAAAGAGTTTTGTTAACTCTTTTTTGTTTTTTTTTAATATCAAATTTGCTTCAAAAAGTAGCATTTGTCTGCGAGTTAAATATATTATTTTGTATGCATTTTATGTTAGAATTTAATAAAGATTTTCTTTAATATTTCTTAAGAGCATTAAACAAGCCGTGTTTTCTCTTAAATTCTTGCCAAATTTAAAAGGTATTGACCCTCTAGAAATAATAATTAATAATTTTTAAATTATTCTAAACATATTTTAAAAGAGACGTTCTGAAAAATTGTTATATAAATGAGTCATTAAAAAGCTTTAAATTATATCATTTTCTGGATGCTGGATGATTTCTCAGCATTCAAAATTATTAATGTCATTTAGTAATTCGTTAAACCTAGAAATTGTATAGATAAATTAATAAATTTAATTTAAATTGTTTATTTTTAAAGGTAAATGACAAAAAAAAAATTGAAGTTTTGTAAGAAGGAAGATGATAAACATTAAGAGCATCACTTGAAGAGAATTACAAGAAGAAATTACATAGAAATAATGTATAAATTTAAGATAATTAAGCATAAAATTCTAAAAAGTATAAGAATTTTCTGACAAAAATCTTAAAAAATGTCCCACATATCGACGAAACAGGTGGTTTGAACTCAAAGTTAAAAGCATCACTTGGAAAAGATCATAAGAAAATCAGATAAGAAAATAATTTAGATGAAAAGAATAAGAAATAATTAAAAATATAAATGTTTTTTGAATGTAGAAATGTAAAAATGCTTAAGGAAAAACAGAACATAGAGGAGTTACAATGAGAGTTAAGTTGAGTAGAGAAGGAAGAAGACAAAAAAAAAAAAAAAAAGGTATCTTAAACCCTAACCACAAATACGAGACTTCCCAAGAGACTCGAGATTCTCTAAAACATGTTGGAAATAGCTGTAGTGTGTAAGAAATGTTCCCAAACGTTCCATCTGTTTTTCTGTCTTTTACTTTATACAGCGATCGATTCTCACTTGGAGTAACACAAACCTCTTAGAATTGAAGATATTACAGAAACTCGAAACATTATTTTTAATAAATTCTCACATTTTGACAAAGATAAACTCTTTTTGAATTGAAATTCTTTCGTGTTTTATACATCGGAATACGTTTTAAAAGACTTTGAATTGACTAAAGAGGAAGAGAGTTTTGAGATTTACCAATCGATCCACGACTTAATAGTTTAACTAAACCGCATCAAAACTCTTTAAATCTATAGAACAAACGTGATACAGATAGTTAAATCGTTATAGTAAATAATGTATTCACTTAGAACCTACAAACACCATCCTATAAACTGCACATCCCACGATGATCATAAAGTAAGCCATAACGGGCGAATCGAATTGATACTGTTGTGAAAGTAATTTAAACATTAATCACACAAATAATCAGAATTTCTTTAAAGTTTTCCATCTAAAAATCTTACTTAATTATCTATTTTAATGGATAGAATACAATTAACACGAATATCTTACTAAGAAACTGGTTAAATTGAATCCAGAGTGGATTTCATCTTCGATAGTGCTCTGAAGTACCTTTACGTTGCAACCTTTAAATTCTCGAACATATAAAGGTTTCTCACAGATTTCTCTTGTGCAATGTGCATAAAGGATCAATTCTGGTATCATTCAATCACAGTATATGCTCATTTCTTTACCTGTCTTGCATCCTCTCAAGGACGTGCCAGGTATGGTCGATATGAAGCAGACAAGACAACCACTATATCGATCCTACTATTTTCTCG